AGGGGACAGTGAGGGACAATGGGGGGATGTTGGGGACACGGTGGCCCCGTTGTCCCCCCCAGGTGCCCGTGTCCCCCAGGATGGGCCTGGCCGGGCCCCCCCCGTTGGCGACGGCCCTGCTGGTGGTGACGCTGGTGACAGGTACTGGGGGCCCAGGGGGCCATGGGGGCTCCCCTTGGTCTCCCGACGTCCCTTATGGAGCCTGGGGCCTCCTTGGACCCCACAGCAACGTCAGGCTCCCCATGGTGGCCACCTAGGCCGTGGTGACCCTCCTTGGTCACCCAGTGTCACGGGGTGTAGGGCCTCCATAGACCCATGACACCATCAGCCTCGCCATGGTGGCCATGTTGGCCGCGGTGGCCCTCCTTGACCTTCTAACATCGCTTACTGGATCTAGGGTTCCTGTAGACCCCATAAGAACRTCAATATGTGTATCMCCTCCTTGGTGGCCATGTTGGCCCTCCTTGACCTTCTAACGTCACTTATGGGGTCTAGGGTTCCTGTAGACACCATAACAATGTCAATATCTTCGTGTCCCCCACGGTGACCGTGTTGGCCACGGTGGTTCTCTTTGACCTTCTAACCTGATTTACGAGGTCTAGGCCCTCCGCAGACCCCCCGGCAAGGTCGCCTCGTGCAGAGGGCCTCGTGGTGCCCCGCGGCGCGCTCAGCCTCTCCACGTCCCCGCAGGCTGCGGCGCCGCCGGCTCCTGGTCGGCCTGGATGCCCGCCACCACGTCGGCGCTGGCCGGCTCCTGCGCGCTCATCCCGTGCCGCTTCTCCTTCCCCGAGGAGCTGCGCCCGGCCGCCGTGCACGGCCTCTGGTTCTTCGGCAGCCCCTACCCCAAGAGCTACCCGCCCGTGGTGGCGCGCTCGCACCCGGGCGGCCCCGTGCACGAGAGCTTCGCGGGGCGCGCGCGCCTCGTGGGGACCCCGGCCACGCGCGACTGCTCCCTGCTGCTGCAGCGCCTCGGCCCCGAGCTCGCCGGCCGCTACTACTTCCGCGGGGACCTGGGCGGCTACAACCAGTACACCTTCTCGGAGCACGCCACGCTGGCCGTGCTCGGTGAGGATTGGGGGGCTTGGGGACCTT